CAAATAAATCATCTACAATGCCTATAAGATTTTTGTTATGGAAATATCCACCATGTGCCATCTTCATATTTTCCTGAAATGTAAAAAGAAAATACTAGTAAGGAAGCTCAACCTAACCACATAACCAATATTCCTGAAATCTAAGAGGGCACTTCATATCTGGATAATAGCCTCTCTAAGAGGTTGTAGTTGTCCCAACACTACTGGATTTATAGAGGGAAAACTCTAAAATCAAACAGTTGAACAGGAAGAGAAAATGTTGGCACAAAGGGATTGCCCACTTCTATCCCTACTTGAACCCACTCCTCCAGAAAGAGATCAATATTTAAGGCATTTTTAATGAGGAGAAAAATCAATCTGGGTGTAATTTTAAATAGCTGCAGGTTCTGAATTAAAATATTGAAGAGGGATTACAATTGCTTTGGAAATTTGTTTCCTTCTATATTTCAGAAAGAAAGATCTTAACCAACCTGCAGATAGTACATATAAAGGCTCATTTTTCAAAAAAATTATTAAATTGGTAATAACAGATATGGGTAAAATAATCCATTTCCTGTCTTTGCCAAACAAGAAATGATTCAATAAAACCTCTCTGGTCATTTTCATCAAGGTCTTGGAGATATTCTATGAAGGTGGTCTGTACGAAATCATGGAGCTTTTTTTTTTGGTTCTTCATTATTTTTTTAAGAGCACCCAAAAGGAACCCCAAGTTGGGAAACAAATTATATAGCTAAAAGAATGAGAAAGGAACACATATATTATGGAAGTTGAATAGTTTTAATTTTTCAATGGAAATCTCAAACATTTTTTTAAATCAAAATATAGGTTTTTATCTTTCTTGGTGACTTCAATCTACCTCATATTAATTGGACCCTAAACAAATGTACAACTGAAGTCATACATGCAACCTTTTACAATGCTGTAACAAATTTGGGACAACAACTAATAACCAACGACACTAGACTTAACAACTGCCTCGATCTCATCTTCTGCAACAGTTTGAATTCAATTTACAGAATACAATTTAAAGAACCCTTTTCCAACAGTGACCACAGCATGATTGACTTTTGTCTTAACATATGTCCTCACAAAAATCACCATAACGACAGAATCCCTAATTATAACTTCATAAAAGGCAACTATGATCTTATAGACAACGATCTCTATCTCTTGATTGGCAAATTCTATTCACTGGATGCAATATTGCTGAAGACCATTACAACATATTTTTAATTGAAGTCAAAAGAGTCATCAAACTATATGTACCAAGAACAACTCCCAAAACCAGAAAAAACAAATTATTCATAACAATAAGGAAGCTCCAATCCAAAAAGAAATCTCTTTGGCGGAAAAACAAATCTGATTATGTTGCCAACTTTAAAAGCTGATACAAAAATTTATGCCATCACATAAAGAATGAATGCACCAATTATCATTAAACAAGAGAAAAACCTACGCACCAATTCCACTCGTGCTTTCTACAATTTTGTAAACAACAAACTTAAAGACTCAAGGTCCATCCCACCCCTGAAAGAACCAAATGGTAAAGACTGCAACAATGACACCATTAAAGCCAACCTCTTTAACACATTCTTTGGCTCAGTATTTGTAAACAGCAATGGATCATGCCCAATATTTCCTAGTCAAACCACAGACAACTACAATGATCTAATACATATCAATTTTACAGAAGACTATGTTGAAAAAGCACTTCGCAATCTAAAACCATCTCTATCAGAGGTGGGATACGACAGGGTTAACTACCGGTTTGGGATTTACAAGCTTCCCTGCAGGCTGCGAGCCTTGTGCCTGTAAATCGTCATCAGCAGCTGCCTGCTGAGAAGCAGCCTTTGAAACAGTCCTCTTTTCTTGCTTTTCTAACTGCAGCTGTGCCTCATTCGGCAGCTGAATTTGAAAAATCAGGAAATAAAGATCAGGTAAGAGCCCGGGTGGGTGGGTGGGCAAAAACATCAGCAGACATAGAACCCATAGGTCCTATGTCTGCTGCTCTTCAGAGCTACCAGTTCTAGAGAGGTGGACAGAACCGGTAGAAACCCACCCCTGATCTCTATTTATTGGATGGGACGGAATTTGTGCCTTCTTAAAAAACTATCCACTGCCGTAGCTGAACCTCTAAGCATAATCTTTGAAAAATCTTTCAGGACCAGCTCCCTGTCAAACCTATGGTCACTAGCCACAGTCATCCCTATCTTCAAAAAGGGAGACCCCAGCCTAGTTGAAAATTACAGACCAATCCCTTTATGCTGCGTCACCTGAAAAGTCATGGAATCAATTATTAACCAATCCATTATCCTCCACTTAGAGACAAACAACCTATTCTCTAACAATTTGGTTTCAGAAAAATTGATCCAGTAATCTGCAACTCTTACACTGTAAAAATATATGGACTACACAACTTGATCAGGGCAAAGCAATTGACGCAATTTACATAGACTTCTGTAAAGCCTTTGATTCAAACTACTCCTAAAACTAAAATCTTATGGTATCTCTGGATACCTGCATAACTGGATAGAAGCATTCCTGTCAAACAGGCAACAAATGGTTGTCTGGGTACAAACATCTTAGTTAAACAATAATCAAAATTACAACACCCTTCATTACATATTAATTCTGCAATATTTAACCTAGTAATGTCCACCTATTAATTATACTAATCGATTATACAATATTAACATAGTAGTATTCAACATGTTAGTCATCATATTAACTTATAACTTTTAACACATCATCTTTATTTTGTTTCCCTATTTCTAACTTCCATTTTTATTATTAATTAACCATTCATAGATAAATTCCATACCATATAATATTCTCCTTAATTGCAAATGTTAATCTATTCATTTCTGCACATTCTAGTATTTTCCTAATCACATTCTCATCTGTAAGTGTCTCTTCACTCTTCCAATTTTGTGCAAATACAGCAGTCAATATAGGAATATTTCTATTGGGGATCCTACCCGAAGAATATAGTAAAGAAAATGCATATTTAGTTATTAATATATTGACTGCTGCCAGGATAGGATTTGAATCCTGATGACATCATCTTCATGTTGCCTTTGGATGAAATCTTGCCTCAGATGCCCATGAGAAGCAACACGGTTTCCTTTTCAACAAAGCTTGAATGATACACATTCTGCTGCCTCTTTTTCATGGCATTTTCCCTCCAAATTGGAAATTAAATTACCAACACAGCAGGGCTTCCTGCAAGCTGAACATTTTCCTGAATTATCTTCAGTAGTCGTACAAAAGTAGTATCTTCATATTCATAACGTTTCCCAAGTAGAATAGGAACTATAATGTTGGAAACAGCAGCAGTGAGAATTCTTGTGATATCAAAAGGTTTTCCTGGATGAAAACAATAGATGAAAAAGAATTGTGAATGCAACCAGAATTAAATCTGTTTTATACTCAAAATCAGCTTACATAAAAGGAGCATTTCTCACAAAAACCTAGAACTAGTGCTGATGACATTTGAAATAATTATATTAAAAATATGAACAAGTATTTGAATGGTAATTCATTTTCCCAGAATCAGAATTGCAATATCTGATCATACATCAGTGCTGTTTTATTTAGAACTGTGGAACTCCTTGAGGATAAAATAATTGGCAAAGTTATTGCAATGCCTCCTCATTAAATGATTGCAGTTTTAAAGATTAAATAATTTGACTAAAAGCAGGGAGGAGCAAGAGCTCCAGTTTACAACATATATTCATGCTTAGATGGACTTGCAACAGACTCCAAATAGAGGATTTAGAGGAGTCTCTAAAGAAAAATAAGTCTAGAAGGGATTGATGAGAGACTGTCGTATTACACTGAATTAACAATTCAAGTCCTCTGGAACCATTTTGCCATCCATAAGTCATATTTCTGTAAATATACTTAGCATAAATTGAACAAGGAAGCATATTTCTAGAGAAAAAACAATGGGTTTAAGAATTGTTTGCACGAAGGTACCTCCCAATGCACTCCTTGGTCATTTGATATAATATGCAGAAAATATTTTCATGCTACATTTATCCCAGAAGACGCTCCATTACAGCATACCGACCCACCTGCATAAGTCTCCATTGTCTTTGTTAAGACACTACACTCTTCTGTGATTTTGTCTTCAATGGTCCTCTTGCCCATTCCGTAATCCCATAATGTGGATAATGTAAACCATTGCATCACTTTCCAGTGTTCCCCACGAGCAAAAACAAGACCTGAAGAGAAAAAGGGTAAGATAGTGAAATATAACTTTACCATCCTTTGCCGCTCATTCTTGTTTTACAACTTCATTAAAACATGCTCCATCAATTTGATCAAGAGTTTTATCCAGTCTGTCCAAGAGCCTGGTTGATAGGTAATTCAAAGTTTGTGCTAAAGATTTCTGCTCCATTTTCCTTATCCTTTGTTTTTGGTATCCAGCCTTCAGCATCTCCTTGTCAAACCAAACCAAACCAAACCAAACCAAAAATGAAAGCAATCATCATTTTTCCATTTGCAAATATCTTCTAAATGATTAAAAACTATTATTCCAAATCATATTGCGTCTTAATACATTATTATTTTTTAAAAATTCATATACCAAACACTTTTTGCTTCATAGTCCAAAAATCATAGATTAAAAAAAAAACCTTTTACAATCAAATCTGCAGTATCTTTTAAGGATGAAATTCATCAGTGAGTACTAGCTGGTCGAAATGCTCTTAATCTCTGAAAGACACTGGCAAAAACATTGCATAAAGATAAGGTTTCTATAACCATGTATATGAGGAGAAATATATACAGAAATCCTTCCTATGGAATTCCTCAAACACCCATCCCGCACCCCCAAATTTGCCAATATGCAAAATGAAACATGGTGGTGGGCAGCCTGTAAAGCTCATGGGCTTGATACAATTTTGTATCAAGAGGCTTGCAAATATTCTATCTCTTTTTTTTCTTGACCAGACAAAGCTGAGAAAGAACTGAGACATCTTTTCAAGGACTTTGACTGTTTGATAAGATAGAGGGAAGAGCATGGGAGAGAATTATTGCAGGTGCTCTTCTGGGTTTCTATCAATACTGGAGCCTGGTGTTGAAGTTTATAGAAAAAAAAGATGATAAGACTCTGGAGAAGAGAGTTATATATTTTAACAAAAGCCTTGGATAACTAAACAAGGTGCAGTGTGCTCTTTTTACTTTTCTTAAGCTGGGCTATTTCTTACTTTCACAAACCCCCTCCTTACTAGCTTACTTTTTGTAATAGCTATTTGGATCTTTGGCCTTTTGGAACTTGTTTTTATCTTTCTTTTTGTTTTTGAAGTCTAATTTTTACGTTTGCATTTTATTTTAAAGGAAAAGTTTTAGTATTAAAGTTTTCCTTCTTTTTTCTTTTCTTTTTTTAAGGGAGTAGTCTCTTTTCTTTTTTCTCTCTCCCCCCCTTGTATTTTTTTTCTATTTACCTTCCATATTGGTTTTTTTTTTGTGGCTTTCTTTTTTTTAATGCATCCTTTTATACCTGAGACTTTTTAATTGGATTAAAGTGTTGAAGAGCCTGAAGAACTTCTGTTTTTTCTTCTTTAGTTTTTTATTTTCTATTTTTCCGCCCTTTCCAGGATTTAACAATTTTTTCCTTTTTTTTTGTTTATGGTCTTTTCCTTAATTTTTGAGTTTTTACTGCTATCTAACCAATTGATTGGATAAGGTATACAAGAACCTGAAGAATTTTTTTATTATTATTATTGTTATTATTTGGCTTCTTCTTTTCCACTATTTTTACTTGGAATTACAAATGGTTATTTCACAAGTGGATTAAGGTCTAGAAGAACCTGAAGATTTTGAATTGTCTGAAATGAGTAGGAAACTAACAGTGGCTGGTCCTTCAACTTCTTCTTCCTCTTCACCATCTGGAGGTCAACGCTCAATACAGACAATGTTACAGCAAGAAAAAGAACAGGAAAAAGTGACGCTGCAGATGATTATGCAAGGAATTTAAAATATACAAATAAGAACAGAGAATATTGAAAAGAAAACAGAGAACATTGAACAAAGAACAGGAAAAACTGATAAAAAGGTGGAGAACATTCAACAAATGATGATGAAGTATGACGAGAGATTCCAAAAAATTGAAAAAGAAGATAAACAAAGAGAAGTTCACATCAGATTTACAAAGAAAGCCATTAAAACGCAAATATTGCAAGTGGCAAGAGAGAAAACATTGAAATATAAAGATAAGGAGATTGTGGTCCTGAAACAAGTACCCAGAAGAATGAGAGAGATGAGAAGAGAATACTGATTTCTGACTAAAATTCTACTTTAAAAAGAGGTGAATTATAGATGGCTGATTCCAGAAGGTTTAATGTTCACATGGCAAGAACAGAGACATAGAATTGATTCAATTGAGAAAGCTGAATTATTTTATACAGAATATTTTGGAGGGAAAGAGGAGGAGGCAGAAAAAGAAATGTCACTAATTGAATTCCAAGAGGACTGCCAAATAGCGACTGAAAAAGAAGAAGGTGCAGTAGGTGGAAAGGTGGAAGTTAAAGAACAACATGAACCAAGATCTACGAGAGCTACTAAACCTAACTACAAAATATAATAATGGAAGAGAAAAAACTGATTACAATTAACATAAACAGACTTAACTCAGCTGCTAAAAGAAGGAAAACTTTCCATAAATTAGAGAAATTAAAATTTGATATAATCTGCCTGCAAGAAGTACATATTAAAAAGCAACACGAACAATTGTTGATACAGCCAAAATTAGGGAAAATATTTAATTCTTTGACACAATGCAAGAAAAGAGGAGTGGTGTTATACATTAAAGATATTATCCCAGAGAAATTGATCTATACCAATAATGGACAATAATATGAAAACACTCCTGATTGCAATCTATACCCCGAATTACAATCAAGAAGAATTTTATAGAAAACTACATATGAAAATAATTGAACTGGACTATGCTAATATAGTTATGATGGGAGATTTTAATGGAATTGTAGACAATAAATTGGACTATACAATACAGAAAACAACAAAACAAAACAGAAAGACTCTCCCTAAATCTTTTTTTAAAAATGATAGATGGAATAAATTTAAAAGATACATGGAGAGAAAGAAATGCTAAGACTAAACAATACACCTTCTATTCAAACAGACATTTATCATGGTCCAGAATAGATGTGATATCCAAGAAATAAATATTGAAACAAGTACTTGGGCAGATCACAATCAAATGACAATTAAATGGAAAGGACAAAGAAGAAGATCTAGATGGATGTTAAATAATACTATTTTAAAGGAAAAAGACTTCACACAGTGGATGGAGAAAGAACTGGCTTTTTTCTTTAGAGAAAACAAAAAAGAAGACACATCAATGCAGAACGTATGGGATACAATGAAGGCATATGCAGGAGGCTTGATAATAGACTATACAAGGAAAAGAAATACCACGAAAAGACTAGCCTCTAAGACATTAGAGGATGAGTATAAAGGACTTGAAAAAGAGCTACAGAAAATGCCACAGAAAAAGGACATTAAGTTAAAAAGGGGTATAATTAAACATAAAATGGGGCTAATGGAAAAAGAAGAACTAGCACAGAAAATCCGAGGTGCGAAACAGAACTATTTTTTTTTTTGGTAAAAGTTTTATTGATTTTAACAACAAATAAAAACACATAAAACATAAAACATAACATAAAAACATCATCATTCTTCATAAATTTACAGACAGTCTATCGGTTGGTTTACCACTCCTTTTTGTGCATCCATTTCATAGTCATCATAATAATTATGTTACATAATAACTCATATTATCGATCAACAATTATATATCCTAATATCATTATTAAACAATCATTTGACTATAATTTTACTAATTCATACTTAAGCGAGATAACTATAATGTGGTTAATTTATTTTATAACAGATCGTAAAATCATACCAAGTCTATCTTAATAAAATATTCTAAAAATGTTATCAAAACCAAAAAAAATGTATATTCGTTATTTCCTAGGTTTCTAAATATTCTATTATTATATTGTATTATCTAACCATTGATAAAAAAGATCCCAAACTTCATAAAATTGTTTATCTTCTTGTTCTCTAATGTCAATCTACTCATTTCAGCACATTCCAGTATTTTCTTAATAATTTCTTCCTCTAATGGTATTTTCTCACTCTTCCAATTTTTAGCAAATACAATCCTAGCCGCTGTTAACACATTTACAATCAAATACTTTAAGTTTTTATTAAATGTATCAGGTAAGATTCCCAATAGAAAAATCTCTGGTTTCAAATCTATATGTTCTTTTGTCATTTCTTCCAACCATATGCGAATTCTAGTCCAGTATTTCCTGGCCTCCTCACAAGTCCACCACATATGGTAATATGAGCCAGGGATCTGATGACATTTCCAGCACTTTTCAGATTTGTTCTTGAACATTCTTGCTATTCTTGTCGGGGGGAAATGCCACCTGTAAAACATCTTATACAAATTTTCTTTATATGCTACTGACATTGTCATTTTATAATTTTGAGACCACAATTTTTGCCATTTCTCTAAATCAATCCCATATCCAAAGTTCTTCCCCCAAACAATCATTGTTTCTTTGACTTGTTCTTCCTCTAATTTAATTTCCAACAAATAACTATATAGTTTTTTAATCACTTTTTCATCAGAACCTGTCAAAATCCTATCTAAATCAGTCAATTTATCATAAAATCCTTCTGTTTTAGAATCTTTAAGATACCTTGAGTGTATTTGCGCATATGAAAACCAATTCATCTTTATATCTTGTTCTTCTAACTTTTGCATCGTTTTAAGTTCACTCTTCTCATCCAGTATTTCCCCATATCTAACTGTTTGTTCCTTCTTATAAATTATGGGATAGGAAAAAGCTTCGATAGTTGATAACCAAACTGGTATTTTTAAATAACATTGTTTCTTAATTTTCTCCCAATTCAACCATAACGATTCCCGTATATAGTGCCTTCTGAAATAACCCTGCGATTTAGTTCCCTTATACCATAAAAAAGCATGCCAACCCAATAATAAGTCAATGTGGGCTAAAGAATGGATAACATTAAGAAAGTCTAGATTACTGGCAGCGAAACAGAACTATTTTGAAGATGCAAATAAACCAGGTAGATGGTTAGCATATAAATTGAGAAAGGAGAAAGAATCAAGGAAAATATTGCAATTAATAGATGATCAAGGCCAAGCTTGCTAGGGAAGTAAAGAGAAGAAGGAAATTATACGAGACTATTATGGGAAACTATACACACAAGAGAATATTGATGAGGAAAGAGTTAAACAGTACTTACAGAATGCTACCCCAGATACCTAAAGAGATTGAAACAATGTTAGAAAGCAATATAACGATGATGGAGTTAACTGAAGCACTTAAGAAGCAAAACAATGGAAAGGCACCAGGCCCAGATGGACTTCCGACAGAATTTTATAAAACACTACAAGAATCGTTGAACCTTCCATTGCTAGAAGTTATGAATGAAGTTATGTTAAAGAAGAAGATACCCAAATCATGGTCAGAAGCTTATATTACACTTGTCCCAAAAGAGGAGGTCGATCCATTACAAATCAAGAACTATAGATCTATTTTCTTACTAAATGCAGATTATAAAATTTTTGCTTCAATGTTGGCAGAAAGACTTAAATACCTAAACAATTTTATCCACCCTGATCAAAATGGATTTCTGCCAAAGAGACAAATTAAAGACAATATGAGAGTAATCTTGGACACTTTGGAGGCACACCCTGAAAAACAAATGGCTCTGATATTTCTAGATGCACGGAAGGCATTTGATAATGTGAATTGGCGATTCATGTTATTACAGCTGGAACAGATGGGCTTTGGTAAAACATTTATCCAAGCAATAGAAGCTATATATCATAAGCAAATGGCAAAGGTAATGATAGAGGGAGAACTGACAGCCTCTATCGATATAAGAAAAGAAACAGGACAAGGGTGCCCACTATCACCTTTGTTGTTTGTGTTAACCTTGGAAGTGTTAAACAGAAATATTAGAGAAGAAAAGGATATAAAAGGGATGAAAATTAAAAAGGAAGAATTTAAGTTGCAAGCATTTGCAGATGATCTGGTTTTCATTTTAGAAGATCCACTAGAAACAGCATCAAAATTGATAGAAAAGATAGAGGTATATGGAAAGGTGGCTGGTTTGAAAATGAATAAAGACAAAACAAAGATTTTGACAAAGAATATGCTATCAAGACAAAAGGAAGAATTGGCTGGTGTATTGAAAATCCAGGTCACGAATAAGATTAATTACTTGGGGATACATTTGACAGCAAGATGTATTACACTAAAAGAGAATAACTATATTAAACTTAAGCAGCAGATAGCTCTAGATTTGGCGAAATGGGAAAATTTACAACTGTCATTAATAGGGAGAATATCAACAATCAAGATGAATATATCACCTAGAATTTTATATTTGTTCCAAACCATTCCAGTTAGGCTTGGAAAAGATTATTTTGAAGATTTAAATAAAATTGTGTTGAAATATATATGGTAAGAAAGCGAAAATAAAGTTAAAACTTTTGCAAGATGCCAGAATAAGAGGAGGATTTGGTTTGCCTAATTGGGAGTTGTATTACCAAGCTACAAATTTGATGTGGGTTAAGGAATGGGTAACATTAAGAAATACTAGATTGTTGACATTAGAAGGACATGATCTATTGTTGGGGTGGCATGCTTTTTTATAGTATAAAGGAACTAAAACACAGGGGTATTTTAGAAGACATTATATACGGGAGTCTCTGTGGTCAAACTGGGAGAAGACTAAAAGGCAATGTTATTTGAAAATTCCAGTCTGGCTATTGAAGCATTTTCTTATCCTATAATATATAAAAAGGAACAAACAGTTAGATATGGTGAAATATTGAATGAAAAGGGGGAACTTAAATCTATGCAAAAATTAGAGGAACAAGGTATAAAGATGAATTGGTTTTCATATGCGCAAATACATTCAAAGTATGACAAAGATTCTAAAACAGAAGGCTTCTATGATAAACTGACTGATTTAGATAAGATTTTGACAGGTACTGATGAAAAGGTGATTAAAAAATTGTATGGATATTTATTAGAAATTAAACTAGAAGAAGAACAAGTTTAAGAAACTATGATTGCTTGGCGGAAGAATTTTGGATATGGGATTGATCTAGAGAAATGGCAAAAATTGTGGCCTCAAAATTATAAAATGACAATGTGACAATAGCAAGAATGTTCAAGAACAAATCTGAAAAATGTTGGAAATGTCATCAGATACCTGGCTCATATTACCATATGTGGTGGACTTGTGCGGATGCCAAAAAATATTGGACTAAAATCCACATGTGGTTGGAAAAAATGACAAAAAAGCATATAGACTCAAAACCAGAGATATTTTTATTGGGAATTTTACCTGAAATATATAGTAAAGAATTGAAATATCTGATTGTAAATGTATTAACAGCGGCTAGGATTGTATTTGCCAAAAACTAGAAAAATGAGAAAATATCATCACAGGAGGAAATCATTAAGAAAATATTGGAATGTGCTGAAATGAGTAGATTGACATTTGAAATCAGAGAACAAGATGATAAACAATTTTATAAAATTTGGGATATATTCTATCAATGGTTAGACAATAAAACATGGTAGTGAAATATGTAGATTTTTAGAAAATAATAAATATATAAAGATGTATTTTTTTCTTATTATATCTACAAAATGATTGTAGGATAGATTTGAGATGATAATATGAACTGTCATAAAACAAATTAAGTAAAATATGGATTATTTCGTAAAACATGAATGAATAATAGTATAGTCAAATGACTGATTAACAATGATATTAATGTATTTAATATTTGATTGAAAATATGAGAATATATACAATGTAATTGTAATTGAAGACTACGAAATGGAAGCACAAAACAATTTGTAAACCAACCGACACATTGTATATATATATATGGAAAAGGGCTTGATGTTTTTATGTTTTGTTTGTCTATGTTTGTCTTAAAAACCAATAAAAAATTTTAAAAAATAATAATTAGGCTCATATAGAAGATTGTTTTTAAGAAATTGTCAAAATTCAGAGGCACATATAACATTATTTCCTTTTTCTGTTCTGTTGAAAATTGTGATGGTATATTATTCTTTACAATTTTTAATTTTCATTTGATCTATATTTAACATACTTAACATCAATTTAAAAATGCTTATATAATAAAAGATCCTCACAATAGAAATGCTTGTCAAGCTGAGAGAAGGTTTCTAATATTTTGGAACAAGGTCATCTGTGAAGGACATACTGTGAATCATAGAATCATATGGCTGGAAGGGACATTGGAGGTCTTCTATTCTAACCCCCTATTCAAGGTAGAAGTGTTATATCACCCCAGTCAAATTGTTGTCCAGTATATTTTTGAAAGCCTCTGGTTATGGAGTACCCACAACCCCTGGAGGCAAGCTATTCCATTGATTAATTGCTCTCACTGTCAGGAAATGTGTCCTAATGTCTAGATTTCCACCCATTACTTTTTGTTCTGCCCTTAATTTTGGTTGTGTATTGGTCACTGCAGAAATTGATTTAATGACTTATAATTCTGCTTAAAATGTGCAAAGATGGGAGTGTCTCTAAGTACATATCCAGTCATTCAGCTTAAGAGCATTTATATTTCCCCAAAAGTTCCTTGGGATTTGAACATTTCTGCAAATCTAAAGAATCAGAAAATTGCTAATTCAATTAGAACATTTTACACTGATTAAGAAAAAGATTTTCTTGAAATAATCCTTCCAGAATATTTAAATGTATTCAGACACCAGCTGAATCTCCACTTTTTGAATATTTCATATACAGTAAACACAATCAGGGAGCACAGGGAGACTTACCCAACCAAGTTACCAGGATTTTGTCCCATCTCAACAAGTTTTGGCAAAGAACGGTAGAGAGACTTGTTAATGATCAGGCTTTACCTCCATCATTGTTTTGTAAGGCCTCTTCAGATCCATCATGTGCAGATTTCCCAAAAGGGGTATGGTCCTGGGCCCCGGAGGGAGATTGGGGGAGCTGTTATTCCAAGATCTGCCCCTTTTCAAAAGGAACATAATTGCAGGAAAAAATAGTAATAAGATTAAAATTACCCCAGTCCAATCCATTTCCTTTTAGTAAGCAGTTTTCAGTAAAAATTATAAGGAACTTTGAAAACTGAAATGATTCCAGCATGTATTTGAGAGCAACGTATTAGGCAGAGCCCAGCTACTCTTTCTACTGAATCCTCAGACTGCTCTGTTCAATAAAGGACTTCTAAACTTTGCTCTTGTTTTTTTCTCATTGGGAATTTGATCTTTTCCTGGCATGTGTGACATAATACTGAAATCTTCAAAAATCCCACAACCGCTGGAGCCAAGTTATTCCATTGATTAATTGCTCTCACTGTCAGGAAATGTGTCCTAATTTCTAGGTTGTATCTCTCTTTAACAAGTTTCCACCCATTACTTTTTGTTATGCCCTTAATTGTGGTTATGTATTTTTCCCTTTTTCCCCCAGGTAAGTGCTTAGGTCTCCATTTTGACTCTCTCTCTCTCCCTCTCCCTCCCTCTCCCTCTCCCCCCCTCTCTCTCCTTCCCTCCGTCCCTTTCCCTCTCCCTCTCCCTCTCTCTCTCTCTCTTTCCCTCCCTCCGTCCCTTTCCCTCTCCCTCTCCCTCTCCCTCTCTCTCTCTCTCTCTTTCCCTCCCTCCGTCCCTCTCCCTCTCCCTCTCCCTCTCCTTCTCTGTCTGTTTGTTTTATCCACTGACGCAGTCCAGAGACACAGCTGGCTAGGGAAATGCAAGGGAATTGAACCCTGCCAACACAGGCAGTCCTTATATATGGAAAAGATCAATTCCTCCCTAAAGAAAATTAAGGAGAAAAACATGCTACCTCGGCAGGAGAGCCGACCCTTATCTATGGGAAAGGTAGCAGGCACAGGAAGTAAAATAACACACACTTCCAGCAAACAAGCTGAAGGAAAAAGCACCCAGGATGAAAAATAGCAATTCAGACAAAAGAAGGAATGGAAAACTCAATCCTAGCAGCAAGGTTAAGCTTCCTCCAATTAACTTAGGCAGTATCATAAAGAATATGAAATGACAATAAAGAAGAGAAAAATAAATTGAGCATAAACAATTTGAAATAAAGGAGTCAATAGAGAGACGACAGATAATGGGAAGAAGGCAAAAAAAGACCTTGACAGAGGCATGCTCCAGTTACATTGGGGCATTACCTTCATCTGGAGAAAAGTTGAAACAGGAGCAAAAAAATCAAGAGGCATATATTCAGAAATCTCATCACAGGATGACAATTAGAACAATGAGATTGCAAATTGTAATACAACTGTAATCACAAAAAATAACAGCATAAAAACAATATACTTATGAAACACCAGCCTAGCCAGTTGGTTGAAAACTCTTTTTTCCCCTAGTTTCTTTTACAAAACTTATTTTCCAGGAAGGTGTCATTAATGGCGGAAGCAAGTACTACTGCCAAAACGAGACCACATAATAATACAGCAAAATAAATCTTACTTTAAGAATCACACTGCTTTGGCCACAACCCAGACTGATTGCGCAACCCTCCTTCAATACAATACAAGAGAGTGATCGGTTCTCAGGGGAGACGATATTCCACCGGGTCCCAGCCACAGGGTCACCACCCTGGACTGTTTTGCCAATGAAATACGCTGGGAAAGACACAGGCCTGGCCCTTGTGCAAGTCCAGGTGTGACCCTTCCCTTGCAGCCAAATTTTGGGATAGGTCCCACCCTCTCTATCTAACTCATACACCCTATCTAACTAAGCATGGTCCCAATAGGACCATGATTCAGATTACCTCTAATTCAAAGTAGACCACAGGCTTCTGAATAAGAGCAGGCTGTGAGGGGTCCTTGCAAGATGGCAGGTCTCTTCCAGCAGCTGTCTTATTCCTGGCCAAACACACCATCTGTTATAAAAATATTTCAGTAAAGGAAATACACAGACAAAACCACAGGCTTTTACTTTGAAATCAGAGGTTTATTTCATGAGCAATTTGGAACACGAAAAGCCATCATAATATAACAACATTTCCGTAAGATAGTACTTACTAACAACAACCCATTGCAATGAGGTCCAGGGATAATAGTTAAGTCCAGCGAGGAATAGCTACCATTGGTGGCCCTGATTTGTGATTTACCCCCTTCTTTTATACCCCTTTTCTGAAGCCCATCCAGTAGTATGTAACCTTACTGGATGTACCTCCTTGTCTCCACATACCAACTGTCAATCACACCCACTTATAGGTGCATGCCAACTCTTTGCTAACTGTCTTGCCATCTGCCCTTTTTCTCGATATCCCAGACATTCATGATCCAAAATAGCTCTAATTTTTTATTTATTTTATTTATTTTCAAAATACATACAAAATTTACATTTTAACAATTCTGTGTCAAGAATTACTTATATACCGAAATACAATATTTACAATTCTTTTCCATATCAAATCTTATTTGTTTTATCTAATCAAATATATATAACATTTCCCAAACCTCACAGAACTCAGACTCCTCTTTACCTTTTAGTTTTTTCATCATCCTGTCCATCTCGGCACAATCAAATATTTTATTTATTATCATATTTTCTGAAGGTACATCATCTATTTTCCAGCTTTGGGCATAAGCAATTCTTGCCACTATCAATATATGTTGTACGATGTATTGGATATGTTTCTTTAGGTTTCCTTTAATCATTCCCAGCAAAAAATCTTCTGGCTTAAATTCAATATCTCATCCTGTAATTTCTCTTATCCATTTTTTCAATTTTTCCCAGCATTTTTTAACTTTGGGGCATTGCCATCACATGTGATAATATATTCCATCTGTGAGCTTACATTTCCAGCATTGCGGTTTCATATTTGGATATATTTTGCCCAATCTCACCAGTGTCAAATGCCATCTATAAAACATCTTGATTAAATTTTCTTTATATGCTGTTGATAACATTAATTTGCAGTTCTTGGTCCAAATTCTCTCCCAATCTTCTAGCTGTATGCTATGACCTACATTTAGTGCCCAGGTAATCATTGGGCCCTTAACTACTTCTTCCTCCATTTCTACTTGGAGTAAATAATTATAAGTTCTAGTGATGAATTTTTCTTCTTTACCAATTAAAATTTGGTCTAATTTTTGGGGTCCCCATTCTATTCCAAAATCATCCATATCTTTTTTATGTCTAGCTTTTATCTGCATATATAGCCACCAATCTACGATTATACCTTGTTCTTTAAATTTTTCTGTTGTTTTTAAATTCCCCTGATTATCCAATAATTCCTTACATCTAATCTTTTTGTTCCCTGTTGTATTGGGGTAAATTACTGCTTCCGTTGGTGACACCCAATCCGGTAATGTAATATAATGCTTTTTACTTAATTTTTCCCATGTTGTTATTAATGAATCTCTAATTTGATGATGATAAAAATATGAATGGGTCCTTTCCCGTTTGTTCCACAAAAATCTATGGAGATCATGCTCCTCTAATAGTAATGTCCTCTTATTATTTAAATTTATGCAATCTTTAATCTAGAGCAGTGCCACCACCTGATGGTATAGTTCCCATTTTGAGAGTCCTAGGCCACTTCTACTTCTATTGTCTTGTAGCATCTTTATATTAATACATGCTTCCTTTGCTAACCAAATAAATTTAAGCACCATTCTATTCAAGTTTTCAAAGAATTTTCAGTCCAGTTTTATGGGAATGTTTTGAAAAAAGTATAAGAATTTTGGTAATATGTTCATTTTTATTGTGGCAATTCTGCCCATCAATGATATTTGCAACTTTTTCCAGCACTCTAAATCTTTCTTGCATTGTAACATCAATTTCTTGTATCTTCCTTTATAGTCAAACATCGACCTGTAAGCCATATCCCTAAATATTTAATCTTTTTCTCCACTTGTAGTCCCAATTCTCTGTCTAATCCCCTTTTTTGTTTTTCTGTTAAATTTTTAACTAACATTTTTGTTTTTTCTTTATTAATTTTTAGTCGTGCCACTAATCCATATTGTTCAATTTTCCTTAACAAATTTGTCCCTGTTTCCATCGGTTCTTCAATAAAAAACACTAAATCATCCATGAATGCTTGGATTTTGTATTCTTTATTTTTAATATTTAATCCTGTTATTTCCTCATTTTGCCTTATTTTGGTTTGAAGCACTTCTATGGTTAATCTAAAAAATAGAGGCGACATAGGACATCCTTGTCATATTCCTTTTTGGATTTCAAATGTTTCGGTACAATCTCCGTTTTCCATCACTATAGCTTTTTGCCTGGCATATATTGTCCTAATCATAGTTTCAAATTTAGTTCCAAATCTCATGTTTTTAATTTGTTGGATCAAGACCTGCCAATTAAGGTTATCAAATGTCTTCTGTGCATCCAGAAAGATTAGTGCTACCTGTTTCTGAGGGTGTGCTTCATAATATTCTAAAATGTCCAAAACTATTCTTATATTTTATTTTATTTATTTATTTTATTTGTCAAGCAAGTATTAGATAATAGGTATAAGAATGGTTATGAATACATGAAATGGATACGAATAAAAAAGAAACAATAGGACAGGGATGGTAGGCACATTGGTGCACTTATGCACGCCCCCAACAGACCTCTTAGGAAAGGGGTGAGGTCAACAGTAGACAGTCTAAAGTTAAAGTTTTTGGGGTTTGGGGAAGAAACCACAGTCAGGTAGAGTATTCCAGACATTGACCACTCTGTTGCTAAAGTTGTTTTCCTGCAATCAAGTTTGTTGCGATTTACCTTGAGTTTGTATCTATTGTGTGCTCTTGTATTGTTGTGGTTAAAGCTGAAGTATTCACTGACAGGTAGAACATTGCAGTAGATAATTTTATGTACTATACTTAGATCGAACCGAAGAGCGGCATAGTTCAAGGTTGTCGAGGTCTAACTTTTCAAGTCTGGTGGCATAAGGTATTCTGTTATGAGTAGAGGAGTGGAGATCTCTTCTCATGAAATATTTCTGGACTTTCTCAACTGTATTAATATCCG